TTAGATTTCGAAGTAAGCATTTAGTCTCACCCGAATACCTCACTTTTTTGTTTTTTTGTTTTGTTTTTTTTTTTTGTTGTTATTGTTGTTGTTGAAAAGGCCAAAGTCTGAAAAATAAATGGCCTAAAACCGGTGAAAAAACTAGATTTGGGGATACCCTAGGTTGATTTCTATTATGGTTCAGCCCCCCCCCCCCCCCCCAGTCTGGGAGAAGTTCCCGCGCCACTGGTGTCGACCTCGATCCTGGGTCGTTATATTTGAGTTGGCTAAATCTACTACGAGAGGACACTCCTGGAAGCTATTGAAGCCGAGAGCGTCTTCCCGATCGAGGCGAAACACGTACAGCGTCCGGGTCGTCAATAACTGGAATGCCGAATGGCCTCCCTGCTCACGTAGTTGAAGCGAGATCCTTGAATGAATTCAAATCCAGGCTCGACCGCCACTGGGCCTGCGCCCTGCACCTCCTCTATACCATCCACTCTAACGACTGTCGAGTCGTCGACTGATGCAGTGATATCGACTCGGACAGCGGCGTATTTAGAAAATCGCGAAGGGGGGGGCCAAGGGTTTGGAGGGCGCCACCTCACCCAAGGAGGGCGCCATACGGTCGCGAGATAAGAAATCGCTCAGTGGGGGTTGGGGGGTTGGGAGGCGTTTTTTACCATGCCACCAGTTTTTTTTTTGCGTAACCTCGTATAGGTCGTGCTGCATTGATTTTGCATCGTGTGTATTCTTTATACTCCAGGTCACAAAAGGTCAAGTGTTCTTGAAATGCTGCGCCGAAGGCGCGCGAAATTTTTGAAAACAACCTTTTCCTCCGCTTTTTAGGCACGCCTTTTATACGATCACTGTTCAAAGCTCCTCTCGCTCTTTTACCAAATTTGAAGGTGTAAAAAATACCTAAGGTTTGGTCGGGCCGCTGCCACACAAACTGTACAGAAAGCTTGGCTCATGGGTGTCGATGTATAAAAGTTTATTGGCGGTGGCATATCTACGCACCAGATCACCGTATCGGATTGATACCGGAGCGCGAGATGCGTAAACATCATACAAATTACCTCAGACCAGCCTTCATAGCCTTCTCACAGATGCATACAGTGTACCCACATAACCAGTTTCAATCACCGAAACTTCAGATGCCTGCTGTTGCGCCCGAACCTGTTGACAATACTTAATCGTAATCCATATAGATGCCATGATGCACGTAAAGTAGGATCAATCCGTTAAGACCAAAGACGTGTTTTATGCATCGTAGAGCGTAGATAGTTTTGGTAGGTATAGATACTTCATTCATTGTGCTGAATGCACGTTCATTTGTGGCAGTTTTCACAGGCAAGACATCAACTATGTGCAATAGAACGACTAAGTTGAACAACATGCCAAAGGAGTAAATAAATGATAGGAGGGCAGCGATCAACGGATGTTGCCAATAGGTAGAAGGGCTGCGATCCACAGGAGGGCACTAATAGGTAGAAGAGCCCCGATCAACATCCCGAGTTTCGACAGTAGGGCACCGATAGGTAGGAAGTTGGCGAGCAGCAGGAGGGCGCCAATGGATAGAAGGGCAGCGATCAACAGGAGGGCACCAATAGGTAGGAGGGCGCCGATCAACAATCAACAGGAGGGCGCCACCAGGTAAGAGGGTGGCGAGGAACAGGAGAGCACCAATAGGAGGGTGGCGATCAACAAGAGGTCGCCAATAGGTGGGAGGGCGGTCATCAACTGGAAGTCGCCAATGAGCGGAAGGGTGACGATTAAAATGGGGGTGGCAATGGTGAGGAGGGCGCCTTTGCTCAAGAGGATGACACGAACAGGAGGGCGTCTGTGCGGAGGGCGCTGGTCAACAGGAAGGTGCCAGTGGATAGGAGGGCGGTGATCAACAGGAGGGTGCCAGTGGTTAGGAGGGCGGCGATCTACACGAGGGCGCCAATAGGAGAAGGGCCCCGATTAACATTCAACAGGAAGGACTAGGGAACCAATAGGTAGGAGGGCGGCACTGAACAAGAGGGTGCCAAAAGGGAGAAAGGCGGCCTTCAAAATTTCACATGAGGGCTCAATAGGTAGGAGAGCGCCAATAATTATGAGGACGCCGATCAGCAGAAGGGCGGCAATGTGTAGCAGGGTGGCGACCTACAGGAGGGCGCCTTCGGGTGAGAGGGCGCTTATTTACAGGACAGCGGCTTACATAGGCGACCACCGTTACGCTTAGAGAGCTACAGCCTACAAATGTGGTTGGAGGGCGCCCGAGGGAGCCCTCCAACCGTATTTGGAGGGCGTATTTGGAATGGGCGTCCTCCGAGGGCGCCCTCCATCCGTATTTTCCCTGTAAACACATTCGCGATTGGAGGGCGCCCTCCAGTCACTGGCGGTCGCAGGGGGGGGCCACGGGGGCCATGGCCCCCCCTTTGGTGCTGAAAGGTGGGGCCATACTATCTTTTGGCCCCACCTTTCAGATCGAACAAAAGTCCTAGAAAAGCTTTTCGTATGTTTCATTTTCTTTCTTGCGCCATCAAAGGACGTAAATTTCACTCATGAGTGGGCTCAGTTTCGCATTCTGTCATTTTGGCGGTCAGCGTCGCTGGCACCGGTTCACGAGTATGGCCGGATCTTATATGGAATATCAGCGTGGGTTTACTTAAGGCTCTCGTAGGCCCAGCATTCAGCAATGGCTGGCATGAGACCCTCTTCGGCAGTGGCGGGTGGGCCCTGCTAAAGGAGATTGGCTCCAAGACACTAAAGTAAGACCTCAAGGGTTGGTGCTGTGCACCTCAGAAGCCCGGTGGTGATGCCGTATGCCGGCTTGGTTTCTTAAGGATTAGCGTGGGACCTTCGGGGCCTGCATAGAGTTTGCATGAGCTAGTATGTAATCTCAGAGGCATGTGTGTAATGTGTACACAGTGGCGGTCGGGGGGGCCGGGGGGGGGCATCAGGGCCATGCCCCCAAAGGTCAATAAAGGGGGCCATCATATCATTTGACCCCCCCCCTCAAACAACCAATGGGCCCCCATATAGGTGTATGGGGCCCTGGCAATTATTCGATCGTCACGAGGCTAAAAAAATCCACGCCAAGCTATTAATATAGCTCCCACACCGGTCTTTGAGCGTCCTACACTGACCTCTGAGGGAACTTCAGTGGCGGTCAAGCGCCCACGTTGACCGCTAAGAGCCTACATCAACCTCTGAGGCCCCACATCTGGCCTATGAGGGCCCCTAACCGGCCTCAGGGGTCCCAACCGGCGTCTGAGGGTCTCACACAGGTCTCTGGTGGCCTTATTTCTGTCTCTGGTGTCCCAAGATGAACCTTTAGGTGCCAATAAGGGCCCCGCACTGGCTGCTGAAGACCCGATGCCGGCCTCTAAGGGTCTGCATTGTCCTCTGAGGAGGGCCCATCTTGGCCTTTGAGGGCCCTCTGCTGGCCTCTGGGGTCAAACGACGGCTCATGCCGGTCTTTTAGGGCCCCACGCTGACCTCTAAGGGCCCATGTTGGCCTGTAATGAGTAAGGACCCACATTAGACTCTGAGAGCCCAACTTGGTCTCTGATGGTCTCAAACTACTGGCCTTTGTAGTTTGCAGGCCCTGTACTGGTCTCTGAGGGCCCTAAACTGGCCTCTACATGAAAACATACATGGTGGGTTTCTGAAGATCAGAGGGCTCACGCAGTCCCCGGCACAGCCTTACGTTGGTCCTGATCGAGATTGCTTTACGTCCTGATGGTCCCGCGCTGATTCCCTCATATTTCGACGTCGGGACCCCATGAGCCGGTGTGGGTCCTGGGGCTGGCAGAGACTGATGAAGTCCTTAGGGCTCAGGGCCAGTCTTTTTAGCAGTAGGACTACGCAGGTTGAGTGAGCCCCAACAGAGCCGCTGCGAAGCCCCGCAGGAGTCGCGCGTGGCCCTCAGATGCCAATTCTGAAAGCTCGGAACCTGTGGGGGTCTCCAGAGGTCGGTGTACCAGTACCTACTCTCTCCCGCCGCCACACAACTAGGTACCTATATGGGTAAATGTCATAGTCTAAAAATGCTCTCTGGGTTTCACATGCTTTTTCAAAGCAAGAGGTATCTGTACTTTTTAGCAAGAGGTACCTACCTATCTGTACTTTTCCGAATTGTTTTATAGTGGTAAGGTCATGAATCCGCGTGCCTGACCTTCCAGTATACCTATGCTACACCGATCCGTCGTCATGGTGCAGCGGCCCGACCGGTGGGCACACCGTGAGACGGTAAATGGAACTGGTGATTTTGCCTTAAATTGAGCTCAATGATTTCACGCAAGAATGAGATGGATGAAGCATAAGTAATGCCAACTGTGCGGCGCCTCGTGGACGTAAAAAATTAGCCGATCACCCCCCCCCCCCCTCCCGGTGACCAGTAGCGGCGGAACACCTTCAATTAAGGGGGGGGCACTGCCGACTTTTGGTCCCATTCTTTCCATGCAACGCCCATAGGGCTAATGTTAAAATGCCAAAATCAAAGGGGGGCACGGTGCCCCGGTGCCCTCCCCGTTCCACCGCCTATGCCGGTGACGGATAAATGTTATGTCCCGCGAGTGTGACTTTGGCCCCCCCTTTTGCTAGCGGCTGCGACCGCCAGTGCCTCCAGTCGCGATTGTTTTTCGATTCGATTATATCACAATTGCATTTGCGTTTGGAGGGCGCCTTCGGTGCCCTCCAATCGCAAAGGGCGCCTTCGGCGCCCAAGGGGGGGGGCATGGCCCAGTGGCCCCCCCCCCTGCCTACGCCCCTGGACTCGGAGCTCGATATGTCAGAGTCCCACAGGCCTAACGGCCTTCAAAATTCTCGTACATCGTAAGTAAGTAAGTAAGTCATTTTCCATAAGTCTGCAGCCTGGCGCATGCACTCTGCCTGCAGCCGATTGTCGTCTGTGGTCGTCTGCAGATAGTATGCAGCTGATTGACGCTTTCTTCCAATGACGTCACGATAATTCTTGCTTGGGCCTTATGGGCATGTTATGCCTTACTGCCTCGTATATGGCATTGGTGAAATTGATCAACCTTGAATTTCCACGCGATTTCATATGTGCGTTGTGCAGGAGGTTGTGTTTGTTGACTTATTCGGAATTATTTCGTAAATGTTCTTTGATGATATTACGAAAACATGTTTCTTATAGTAAGTAGCTTATTGTGATTCAAGTTTGGCTTGTGTTTCTGTGCTTTCAGATGAAAGGTCTCGGATGTTTGTGCACGCCTCGCGCTGCGCCACAAATGTCAGTAATGCGTTATTCTGTTAATTCAATGCAATTAGTGTTATCAATTAACACTCAACAGTATCTATGACCATGTCACTTAAGATCTCAAGTTTTTTTTGGTAATTGGTAAATTGTTCGGTCTACTAAGTTGGGTATTATCTTAGCAGACGTCACCCGAGCTGCCACATCCAAAAAGGTAGGTTGTAGGTTGTAGGTTGGTAGGTTAGGTTGTAGGTTTTAGGTAAGGTTAGGTCAGGTTAGATTATGTTTTGTTATATATTTAACCATGAAAAGACAATTGTGGCGCACGTGAGATGTAGATATGGCAGCTCGGGTGATGTCTGCTAAGAGAGTACCCTAAGTTGAACATTGAGTTTGGTAACCTGTCAATATGTTGTCACTGTTGTTCACAGAAATTGTCGGCACTTGTGGAGCAGGCTTCACACTTGTTTTTGCAACCAAGGAGAGGTACCTATCACCTACTATACCCAGAGATGCTTTCTAATCAAACCAAACCAAACCAAACCTAATCAAACCTGACCTAACCTTTAAACCTTACGTACAACCTTCAACCTAAAATATACCACCTTAAACCTATAACCAAATAATCTACAGCACTTGGTTTCCTTGGTTGCAAAAAAAAAAAACAAGTATGACACCTGCTTTACTACTACCAAATATTCTCAGTCAATAAGTACCTATGTCACCTCTCTTTGCTGTTGTATTTGTTTTCTGTGTGTTGTCTATCATAAAAATTGTCATTTTGTTAACACTGAAACTGATGAAATTTGACTTTTACACCCTAGGCTCAAAATGGAGTTAAAACCACACCGTTGTCACAAAACATTTATCAACTTTCGTCCTAGAAAGTTTGGCATTTATATACAATAGGTCTGATTTTCTACATATTTACCAAAAATTGTGCATATTTTATTTATTTCCCTTTTTTAAAACAGGTTTGCCATAGGCATAATCACAAATGCCAAAACCTAACCTAACCTAATGTAACCTACCATTGCATGACTCCATGGTGTTTGAGTGTAACTTATAAATATTTTGTGTAATAAGAATATTGTAAGTATTGTCTATTGATGTGTTACCGGTCACTTTTCAAGCTTAGAGGGATGTGTTCTTTCCGTTTACTTTTCTGTTTTGAGAATTCCTGTATGTTTTAGAGGGTGCTTATTGTGTAGCCCTGAAACTCGAATACAGTTTGAACTGAAATGTTCTTAGCTGGTAGCTGGTTAAATTTGTCTGGAAATTGGAATTAATCATGTCTGGGGGCATGATTCATGAGGAATGTCCGGAATACTTTTTCTTCTGTTGGATCACTTTGTTGATAATGTGTTGCTGCTCATAGTAATGAAGGTGAATGAATGCTTTGTACCTATTGTTTTCTGAACTTTGTACTTTGCATGGCATTGTGTGTACTGGATCTTGTCTTGGCAGCCTAAGAGCATAATCTGGGTGATGGATCTCACTGTATTCTTTGACAACTTGAACAGTGCTCTATAGCCAATAATGAAGGAATTTGCAGTTGACTTCTGCGACGACGCGAGGCAAAACAGTGTGCTCCTAAGATCCAGTGAGAGATTTTGTTTGCTGGTTTTACAGTCTTTATATGACCATCTGTTTGGAAGTTGGACATCAGGTAGAATCTGTGTCTCCTCCCTCCCTTGCAGGGTACGTTCTGACTTCTGACCACCACACTGGCGGCCAATGTCATAAAAGGGCGGAAAATGTGGCCGATACAGTTTTCCGCCCATTTTGCTGCATTTTACGGCCAAACAGTTTCAGAAAGGGATTGCGGATATAACCATGTGTAATGTGTATTAAACTGCGCCCCGCTTGGGATCCCAGATTTCTACGCCTCGCTGGGGGGTAGGGTGGAGGGTGGGGTATTACCCAGATTACCCCCTCTAACTCGGCTCCTCGGCCATGTAGCGACACGCGGTAAGCGGCAATCGAAAGAACGTCGAAAATAGGGACGAAAACACTTTGTCATTTTTTTAGGCCAGGTCACCAGAGGTCATCAAAGGTAAAATGTTGCCTTTTTCAACATTTTTGGAAACAGCGGCGCATAACTCGGATCCCAAAAGAGTTTCAGCGTCGCGGATATGCGCATTTGATAGCCCCTTTAACCCTCTTTCTGGGGTGTGTCCTCAGATATGACCTCAGATCAACGGTTTAGCCTCCAGAGGGCAACAAGTAAAAATGACGGTTTTTACAAAAATGTTTTCTTTAATAGCTTTTGACTTAAAAGAGTCACGACATTACTTTTGCCAGCGCCACGTTCCTCTCTTCGAGACGCGTCGAATGAACTATAAGTTGACCTTGAAAGGTCAACTTGAAAATGTAACCTCATGTCATGGCCAATGGCCATGAGCCTGACCGAAAAAGGACATGCTGCATATCAGTCGCTCCGTATCGTCGAGCCGAACACATCTATGGTGTTTTCATCGCTCTAGAATGTGTCTCGATCAGAAGTTATTAGCGAAAAACTGTTGAGACCCTTTGTGACCTGAGGTCACCTCAGGGGCATAACGAGGGGTCACGGGTGCGATTTTCTGGTCCAATATGAAGTGCGGAAAGATGTATAATGAGGTCGCCGCCGTTTTAGAGATATTCGCAAAAAAAAACTAGAGGGGGTCAACCTCGGCCAGCACGGCGCGGGTTACCTAGGTACGATTTAAGCAATAAGCTCACTTGGACATTGGATAATGGATAATTTCAACTTTCTCGTCTGCCCTGAGCCAAAATTATTGATTCAATGCCCTGACTTGGATTATTTTTGTCCAATGTCCTGAACTGATGTGGGAAAGCTTAAGTTACCAACATACCCCAAGTGTTAAGTGACAGGATGTGTGCCAAGAACAGAAATCATCGATGAAAAGCCTCGTATGCATACTAAGGAGACTTTCACAAATTCAAACCTCAGGATGCTTTAGTTGCTTCTAAATGATACATTTCACTTTTTCTCGCTATGATGCTTAGTTTTAGTGATTATGTTGGTGCTTCAAACGCCTTCCTTCAGTCTGTGGTTTTTAGCTCAAAGCACAGTCAATTACCTGTTAACAGAGAATGCTGATATGTGAGCAAGGATTGGATTGCCAAGAAATCTGTAATCAAAACCCTAGACTAAGTGCATTTATACCAATTATTTTTACTGTGAAATATGTCAGTGCATACCTTACCTAGGTGCAATGGCACAAAATTGTGATTGATACAGTCTGTGTGGCGAAAGTGTGCTGATCGGTATCACCTGGCAGTAACCGCTACCTGCCACTGACCGCGACGCCTTGCTCTCTGACAGACCGAGCCAGTCGCTGACGGGGAGCGCTGGGCGCCTCTGCCGCTATGAGCGCCGGCCGCCGGGTCTGACCAGTGCCCTCTCACCGGACCGGACCGATGTCAGAGTACGCCGAGTACGCCGACCTGTGGCGACAGGCCGGCCGGCCGCCGGCGGAGGGCGAGCCCGACCCGGACCCGGTCACCGGAGCCGAGGAGGCCGTGCGCAGACTGCGCGCGCTCACACACACCCGGCACGACGTCGGTGAGTGAAGTCACCATGTCTGGATGACGTAACTGTGCAGTTGGTGGGTGATAGGACGATGGTTGCTGACTTGTTCCTCTGTATATAACCTACTGCTGGGACGTGTTTCGTCGCTTTTTATGTAACCATTTACTTGTGGTCAGTTAAAGTCAATTGGTCAACTGGTCAATTGAAGCACGCAATAGTGTCCTATAAAACTAGCATATAACTAATGCCTATTTCAGCACATGGTCCACGGTTTGAGCTGCTGTGGTGCTTGATGCTTTGACGTTCGTTCCTCCGATTTGCACCCTGTGCCTGGTTTGTGCGTGCCCCCCCCCCCTCCGCCCCCAGTGTACCTGGATACCTCTGACGAGTACCTGCTCCGGTTTCTAATCCCCCCCCCCTCCGCCCCCAGTGTACCTGGACACCTCTGACGAGTACATGCTCCGGTTTCTAATCCCCCCTCCGCCCCCAGTGTACCTGGATACCTCTGACGAGTACCTGCTCCGGTTTCTGACCCCCCCCCCCCCTCCTCCGCCCCCAGTGTACCTGGACACCTCTGACGAGTACCTGCTCCGGTTTCTGACCCCCCCCCCTCCGCCCCCAGTGTACCTGGACACCTCTGACGAGTACCTGCTCCGGTTTCTAATCCCCCCCTCCGCCCCCAGTGTACCTGCCTGGACACCTCTGACGAGTACCTGCTCTGGTTCTGACCCTCCTCCCCGCCCCCAGTCCCCCGCCCCCCGATTCTGACCCCCCCCCCCTCCACCCCCAGTGTACCTGGACACCTCTGACGAGTACCTGCTCCGGTTTCTGCGCGCGCGCAAGATGCGCGTGTCGGCCGCGTTCGAGCTGCTGACGGGCTGCACGGTGTACCGCCGCGACAACCCGCTGCTGTTCGGCTCGTTCAACGCACACAGTCCGCCGGTGCGCGCCGCGCTGCGGGACGGCTTCCCGGGAGTGCTGGAGCAGCGCGACGGCCGCGGGAGGACCGTGCTGCTCGTGTTCGCCGCCGGATGGGACCCTGACAGGTAGGTGGGGACGGAGGGGACGGGGCAACTGGCCTGGAGGGCGAGAGAGATGGGACGGGGCCCCTGACAAGTGGGTAGGGAGGTGACGGGGACCTCGACAGGTGGTTAGGTAGGGAGGTTCGAGGACTCCGACGGGTGGTTAGGATGGGGGGGGGGACAGAGGACCCCGACAGTGCGGAGAAGGAGTGAGGTGACGGGAAACTGGTCTTGAACCGGGAGGAATGGAACGGGGCAGGACAGGGTAGGTGGGGTAAGGGAGGTACCTGGGTACGTGTGGACGAACTGCAGGGAGGGGACAGGTGCGGGAGCACCGGGAGTGACCGGCGGCGGAGTCAGCGGAGGTCCCGGCTGCCTGGCGCAGAGCCGAAATCATCGCCATCCCGAAGAAAGGAAAAGATCCAGCAGACCCGAACTCGTACCGGCCCATCTCGCTGCTCAGCTGCACCAGCAAGCTCTTCGAGAGAATGGTCCAGAACAGGCTGCAGTACTGGCTCGAGGACCGACAACTGATAAACACCAACCAAGCGGGATTCCGGCGCCTCCACTCGACTATGGACCAGATCATCAGAGTCACTCAGTCCGTCTTCGACGCCTTCGAGAAGCCGAAGCCGGAGCGTGCGGTCCTTGCCCTGCTGGATTTCCAGAAGGCCTACGATAGGGTGTGGAGAGACGCCCTCCTCGCCAAGCTGGGCCGCCTGGGAGTGCCTGCACACGCGGTCAAGTGGCTCCGCAACTTCTTGAGCGATCGGAGAGCCAGGGTCAGGTGGGGCAACAGCACATCAGACTGGAGGGTCTTTCCAGAGGGCCTACCGCAAGGCTCGGTGCTCGCGCCCATACTATGGCTGGTGTATATCAACGATGTCGACAAGAACGCCCCAAACGACTCTACCTGGTCTCTGTTCGCCGATGACGTCGCCATCCTGGCCACGGGACCGTCCCTGGAGTCATGTGCGGCGAAGATGCAACCAGCGCTGGACACAGTCGCGACGTGGGCCCGGGACTGGAAGGTGCAGGCGAGCGCATCCAAGTGCTGCTTCACCACCTTCACCCTCGACCCAAAGGAGTGCGGAGGCAAGGTGGTACCGACGCTGAAGTTCTCAGGAGAACCTCTGAGGTACGACCCGAACCCGACCTTCCTGGGCATCACCTTCGACGACCAGCTAACCTTCAGCAGCCACATCTCCTCCCTCAAGGACAGGATGGCGAAGCGCAGACAGTGCCTGCAAGCACTCGCGGGGAAGACCTACGGAGCGCACCGCAGGACTCTCCGAACGGCCTACATCACCTACATCAGATCGGTCTTCGAGTACGGTGCGGCGGTGTACTTCACTCACGCCTCCCCCGCCCTGCGCGCCAAGATCGAAACTGAACAGAACAGGTGTGCCCGCATAATCACCGGATGCATCCTCCCGACTAACAGAGCGGCTCTGCTGGCGGAGGCGGACCTCCCCGCCCTGACAGTACGGGCCAAGGAACTGGCAGCTACCGAAGCCAGCCGCATCGCTCGCCTGCCAGCGGAAGACCGAGCCAAGCAGCTGCTGGAACGAGACCCCCGACCTCGCCTCAAGTACCGCGCGCACGAGGCCTGGAAACGGGCCTGCGCACAAGCTGCCGAGGAGGGACGACCGGAGCCAGCCCTGCCGGATGAAGACGCCCTGCTGCCCCACAAGCCATGCATACGCAGAGTGGGCCGGTGGACTCTGAGGAAGGCGGGAGTGTCGGACTGCCCAGCGGAGCCGTTCCTGAGGGTGTCACCGGAGCCGCCGTGGTCGACCCATCAGGGGTCAGTGACCTTCATCGTGGACCTACCAACCACCACGCGGCGGACAGACCCACCTGACAAGAGGAGAGAGGCGGCAGAGCGCGCCCTGGCCGCCCTGCCCGCGCCAGACTGCTCCATATGGAGTGACGGCTCGGCGGCCGGAGGCACGTCCAACGGAGGAGGAGGAGCGGCCATCATCCTACACCGGGAGAACGACCGCAGGATCGAGTGTCTGGCAGCTGCAGGCACCCACTGCAGCAGCACCAGGGCGGAGCTGGTGGCAGTCCGGGAGGCACTGAAGTCCCTGGCGAGCCTGCCGGCCGACTCCCTAGACGCCATCAAGGAGATCCGCCTTTGCACCGACTCCAGGGCGTGTCTACAGACGCTCCAGCGCGGGCAGGCAGCCCAACAGGAGGAGCTACTGGCGAGCATCTGGGCCTCTCTCCATGACCTCACGTGTTCCGGGAAGCACGTCACCCTCCAGTGGGTACCGGGGCACGCTGGCATCCCTGATAATGAGGACGCCGACAGGCTAGCCAACCGAGCCGCGGCAGAGCTAAGCCAGGCAGCGGTCCCGCTGGACATGGCCGGCGCCCGAGCGGCGATACGCCACAGATCCGCCGAGTGGACCGCAGCCCGAGCCAAAGCTCATCCTCACCTACCACCCACGCCCGGACACGAGGACCTGACCAGGTGGGAGCAGGTGACACTGTCTCAACTGAGAGTGGGAAGATCAGTGCTCACAAGGAAGACTCTCCACGAGATCGGTCTTGCGACAAACCCCGACTGCCCGAACTGCGAGGAGGAAGACTCGGTAGCACACTTGCTGACCGAATGCCCAGCGTACGCCCACATGAGGTCCCGCCTGTGGGGCGGACCTCTGCCGAGCCTGGGGCATGTGCTGGGCGGATCAGCGACTCTCATCTTCGAGTACCTGCGGCGGGTGGGCCGTGTCGACCCCCCGGTCGACGCGGCCACGGCCGTGGCCGCCCCGGCGGCCACGGCGTGACGTGTAGAAGAAGAAGAAGTGACCGGCGGGACGGAACCGGACAAGTACGGGACTGGGAGGGACGGGAGTGTGAGATGAATGGGATCGGACAGGTGCCGAGAGTGAGTGGCACGACAGGCGAACTGGACAGGTGTGGAGTGAAACCAATCATGGACATAGAACCTGCAATCCGTCACAAATCAATACCACTTGGTGACTCCAGCCGTGCACTATCACTAGCATCAGTGTTTTGGGAAACACCCCTACAGTTACCCTTCTCAGTAACGCTTCCCCTCCCAGTGACCCCTCACTGGCTGCATCCCTCTCGTCCCAGATACACCCTGACAGCTGTGCTCCTCTCGGAGGTATCCTGACAGCAGCTGAGCACCCCTCCCCAGTCCAGATACCCACTGACAGCAGTACCCCCTCCTCCCAGATACACCCTGACAGCAGTACCGCCCCCGCAGGTACCCGCTGGCGGCCATCTACCGGGCGATCCTGTTGACAGCTGTGCTCCTCCCGTAGGTACCCGCTGGCGGCCATCTACCGGGCGATCCTGTTGACAGCTGTGCTCCTCCCGTAGGTACCCGCTGACGGCCATCTACCGGGCGATCCTCCTGACCCTGGACCGGCTGATCGAGGACGTCGAGAACCAGATCAGCGGCTTCGTCATGGTGGTCGACTTCAGCCAGTTCTCGCTGCGCCAGAGCAAGAGCGTCAGTCCCAAGATGCTGCGGCTGATGGTCAACGGACTGCAGGTGGGCCGCCGGACGACTCTCGTAGGGTGGGGGATGAGGGTGATGACGGGGAGGGCAGGGAAGGACTGCCGCTTCAGAAGGGTTAGAGTGTGACGGCAAAAGGTCAGCAGGGGGCCGAGATGTCGTACATGTCAGTCAGGATGGGTTGACCAGACCCAGCCTGAACCTCCTGACCCAATCTACCCAGTGTACGTACCCTCCACCTGACCCCTGTGTATCCCTCCATCTGACCCAGTGTACTTATACCCCTCGCCTGTTGCCGCCAGGACTGTTACCCGGCGCGGTTCGGCGGCGTTCACTTTGTCAGCCAGCCGTGGTACGTCGAGGCGATGCTCTCCGTCATCAGGCCCTTCCTCAAGGAGAAGGTCAAGGACAAGGTGGGTGCAGGGTGCTGCAGAATAAATTTTTCGTGCGCTGCACTTGCTAGTTCTGAAAGAGTCTGGGAGTTAGCTCACTGTATTCGGTATTTGCAAACGGGGATCAGTCGTAAGGATTAATGCTGAAGCGAGAACCATCAATGGAATCAAGCAATGAAAGTAATTTGATAAGTGCTATTGCAATGTCCACATATAAGAGTGTGATTCAATGCTTGACGCACAGCCAGCTCAATCGTATCACGCAGTTCGTAACCGGTGTGTGATTTCCCTCCCGGTACTGTCTCCCTTGTGCCCCGACGGTCAGTGTCGCTCCCTACCGTTCCAACAGTCTCTTTCCTTCCTGCCGGTGCTGAGTTCGAAATGGATCACTCCTACCATCCAGACACCGATTTTATCTCCCATTCTGGCAGGGACTCCCCTTCCCTCCTGTTCGTATCCGTCCGTCAGATATACACCCACGGTAACAACCTGTCTTTGTCCCTCCGTCAGATATACACCCACGGTAACACTCTGTCTGTGTCCGTCAGATATACACCCACGGTAACAACCTGTCTTTGTCCCTCCGTCAGATATACACCCACGGTAACAACCTGTCTGTGTCCGTCAGATATACCCCCACGGTAACAACCTGTCTATGTCCCTCCGTCAGATATACACCCACGGTAACAACCTGTCTGTGTCCGTCAGATATACACCCGCGGTAACACCCTGCCTGTCTCCGCCAGATACACACCCACGGTAACAACCTGTCTGTGTCCGTCAGATACACACCCACGGTAACAACCTGTCTGTCTCCGTCAGATACACAGTACACACCCATGGTAACAACCTGACTGTTTCCCTCCGTCAGATATACACCCACGGTAACAACCTGTCTGTCTCCGTCAGATATACACCCACGGTAACAACCTGTCTGTTTCCCTCCGTCAGATATACACCCACGGTAACACCCTGTCTGTGTCCGCCAGATATACACCCACGGTAACAATCTGTCTGTGTCCGTCAGATATACACCCACGGCAACAACATGTCTGTCTCCGTCAGATATACACCCACGGTAACAACCTGTCTGTGTCCGTCAGATACACACCCGCGGTAACAACCTGTCCGTCTCCGTCAGATATACACCCACGGTAACAAGCTGTCTGTCTCCGTCAGATATACACCCACGGCAACAACATGTCTGTCTCCGTCAGATATACACCCACGGTAACAACCTGTCTGTGTCCGTCAGATATACACCCACGGTAACAACCTGTCTGTGTCCGTCAGATATACACCCACGGTAACAACCTGTCTGTGTCCGTCAGATATACACCCACGGTAACAACCTGCCTGTGTCCGTCAGATATACACCCACGGTAACAACCTGTCTGTGTCCGTCAGATATACACCCACGGTAACAACCTGTCTGTGTCCGTCAGATATACACCCACGGTAGCAACCTGCCTGTCCGTCAGATATACACCCACGGTAACAACCTGTCTGTCTCCGTCAGATATACACCCACGGTAACAACCTGCCTGTGTCCGTCAGATATACACCCACGGTAACAACCTGTCTGTCTCCGTCAGATTTACACCCACGGTAACAACCTGTCTGCCTGTGTCCGTCAGATATACACCCACGGTAACAACCTGTCTTTGTCCCTCCGTCAGATATACACCCACGGTAACAACCTGTCTGTGTCCGTCAGATATACACCCACGGTAACAACCTGTCTGTGTCCGTCAGATATACACCCACGGTAACAACCTGCCTGTGTCCGTCAGATATACACCCACGGTAACAACCTGTCTGTGTCCGTCAGATATACACCCACGGTAACAACCTGTCTGTGTCCGTCAGATATACACCCACGGTAACAACCTGCCTGTCCGTCAGATATACACCCACGGTAACAACCTGTCTGTCTCCGTCAGATATACACCCACGGTAACAACCTGCCTGTGTCCGTCAGATATACACCCACGGTAACAACCTGTCTGTCTCCGTCAGATTTACACCCACGGTAACAACCTGTCTGCCTGTGTCCGTCAGATATACACCCACGGTAACAACCTGTCTTTGTCCCTCCGTCAGATATACACCCACGGTAACAACCTGTCTGTGTCCGTCAGATATACACCCACGGTAACAACCTGTCTTTGTCCCTCCGTCAGATATACACCCACGGTAACACTCTGTCTGTGTCCGTCAGATATACACCCACGGTAACAACCTGTCTTTGTCCCTCCGTCAGATATACACCCACGGTAACAACCTGTCTGTGTCCGTCAGATATACACCCACGGTAACAACCTGTCTATGTCCCTCCGTCAGATATACACCCACGGTAACAACCTGTCTGTGTCCGTCAGATATACACCCGCGGTAACACCCTGCCTGTCTCCGCCAGATACACACCCACGGTAACAACCTGTCTGTGTCCGTCAGATACACACCCACGGTAACAACCTGTCTGTCTCCGTCAGATACACAGTACACACCCATGGTAACAACCTGACTGTTTCCCTCCGTCAGATATACACCCACGGTAACAACCTGTCTGTCTCCGTCAGATATACACCCACGGTAACAACCTGTCTGTTTCCCTCCGTCAGATATACACCCACGGTAACACCCTGTCTGTGTCCGCCAGATATACACCCACGGTAACAATCTGTCTGTGTCCGTCAGATATACACCCACGGCAACAACATGTCTGTCTCCGTCAGATATACACCCACGGTAACAACCTGTCTGTGTCCGTCAGATATACACCCACGGTAACAACCTGTCTGTGTCCGTCAGATATACACCCACGGTAACAACCTGCCTGTGTCCGTCAGATATACACCCACGGTAACAACCTGTCTGTGTCCGTCAGATATACACCCACGGTAACAACCTGCCTGTGTCCGTCAGATATACACCCACGGTAACAACCTGCCTGTCCGTCAGATATACACCCACGGTAACACCCTGTCTGCCTCCGTCAGATATACACCCACGGTAACAACCTGTCTGTGTCCGTCAGATACACACCCACGGTAACAACCTGTCTTTGTCCCTCCGTCAGATATACACCCACAGTAACACCCTGTCTCTGTCTCCGTCAGATATACACCCACAGTAACAACCTGTCTGTTCCCTCCGTCAGATATACACCCACGGTAACAACCTGTCTGTGTCCGTCAGATATACACCCACGGTAACAACCTGTCTGTGTCCGCCAGATATACACCCACGGTAACAATCTGTCTGTGTCCGTCAGATATACACCCACGGCAACAACATGTCTGTCTCCGTCAGATATACACCCACGGTAACAACCTGTCTGTGTCCGTCAGATACACACCCGCGGTAACAACCTGTCCGTCTCCGTCAGATATACACCCACGGTAACAAGCTGTCTGTCTCCGTCAGATATACACCCACGGCAACAACATGTCTGTCTCCGTCAGATATACACCCACGGTAACAACCTGTCTGTGTCCGTCAGATATACACCCACGGTAACAACCTGTCTGTGTCCGTCAGATATACACCCACGGTAACAACCTGTCTGTGTCCGTCAGATATACACCCACGGTAACAACCTGCCTGTGTCCGTCAGATATACACCCACGGTAACAACCTGTCTGTGTCCGTCAGATATACACCCACGGTAACAACCTGTCTGTGTCCGTCAGATATACACCCACGGTAGCAACCTGCCTGTCCGTCAGATATACACCCACGGTAACAACCTGTCTGTCTCCGTCAGATATACACCCACGGTAACAACCTGCCTGTGTCCGTCAGATATACACCCACGGTAACAACCTGTCTGTCTCCGTCAGATTTACACCCACGGTAACAACCTGTCTGCCTGTGTCCGTCAGATATACACCCACGGTAACAACCTGTCTTTGTCCCTCCGTCAGATATACACCCACGGTAACAACCTGTCTGTGTCCGTCAGATATACACCCACGGTAACAACCTGTCTGTGTCCGTCAGATATACACCCACGGTAACAACCTGCCTGTGTCCGTCAGATATACACCCACGGTAACAACCTGTCTGTGTCCGTCAGATATACACCCACGGTAACAACCTGTCTGTGTCCGTCAGATATACACCCACGGTAACAACCTGCCTGTCCGTCAGATATACACCCACGGTAACAACCTGTCTGTCTCCGTCAGATATACACCCACGGTAACAACCTGCCTGTGTCCGTCAGATATACACCCACGGTAACAACCTGTCTGTCTCCGTCAGATTTACACCCACGGTAACAACCTGTCTGCCTGTGTCCGTCAGATATACACCCACGGTAACAACCTGTCTTTGTCCCTCCGTCAGATATACACCCACGGTAACAACCTGTCTGTGTCCGTCAGATATACACCCACGGTAACAACCTGTCTTTGTCCCTCCGTCAGATATACACCCACGGTAACACTCTGTCTGTGTCCGTCAGATATACACCCACGGTAACAACCTGTCTTTGTCCCTCCGTCAGATATACACCCACGGTAACAACCTGTCTGTGTCCGTCAGATATACACCCACGGTAACAACCTGTCTATGTCCCTCCGTCAGATATACACCCACGGTAACAACCTGTCTGTGTCCGTCAGATATACACCCGCGGTAACACCCTGCCTGTCTCCGCCAGATACACACCCACGGTAACAACCTGTCTGTGTCCGTCAGATACACACCCACGGTAACAACCTGTCTGTCTCCGTCAGATACACAGTACACACCCATGGTAACAACCTGACTGTTTCCCTCCGTCAGATATACACCCACGGTAACAACCTGTCTGTCTCCGTCAGATATACACCCACGGTAACAACCTGTCTGTTTCCCTCCGTCAGATATACACCCACGGTAACACCCTGTCTGTGTCCGCCAGATATACACCCACGGTAACAATCTGTCTGTGTCCGTCAGATATACACCCACGGCAACAACATGTCTGTCTCCGTCAGATATACACCCACGGTAACAACCTGTCTGTGTCCGTCAGATATACACCCACGGTAACAACCTGTCTGTGTCCGTCAGATATACACCCACGGTAACAACCTGCCTGTGTCCGTCAGATATACACCCACGGTAACAACCTGTCTGTGTCCGTCAGATATACACCCACGGTAACAACCTGCCTGTGTCCGTCAGATATACACCCACGGTAACAACCTGCCTGTCCGTCAGATATACACCCACGGTAACACCCTGTCTGCCTCCGTCAGATATACACCCACGGTAACAACCTGTCTGTGTCCGTCAGATACACACCCACGGTAACAACCTGTCTTTGTCCCTCCGTCAGATATACACCCACAGTAACACCCTGTCTCTGTCTCCGTCAGATATACACCCACAGTAACAACCTGTCTGTTCCCTCCGTCAGATATACACCCACGGTAACAACCTGTCTGTGTCCGTCAGATATACACCCACGGTAACAACCTGTCTGTGTCCGTCAGATATACACCCACGGTAACAACCTGTCTGTGTCCGTCAGATATACACCCACGGTAACAACCTGTCTGTTTCCCTCCGTCAGATATACACCCACGGTAACAACCTATCGGCGCTGTACCACCACGTCAGTCGGCGCATCTTGCCGGCGGAGCTGGGCGGAGACGGGCCGGCGCACGACACTCAGCGCTGGGCCGACCTCATGATCCGCGGCCCGTCGTGACCCGGCGCCGATCGACGTGACCCCGCGCCAATCGACGCTCAGAGGCGGAACGGGCGACTCGGCTGGCGCGGCCAGTCGGCGGCGCCCGCAAGTGTTCGTGGTTTGGACGGTACTAGGAGTGTCAATCCGGCCTTGTCCGCTCTCTACGGGACTTGCCCGTCTCGCACTACAACAAACGATATTGATTCCAGTATGGGTAGCGTGTGCCGTCCCTCTACGGACGGTTTAGCGGCGGTGACTCTGGAGTCGCTGTGCAGGCCGTTCTTCTGTGATCCTTTGGAGACACATACGGCGACCAACCGACGTCACGTACCTGCGCGGTGAGCTTGTCTTACCGGTCCGCCCTGCCCCCTCTGTGGAGTGGTCGCTCCTCTTTCCGACCCGGGCCTGTCTGAGCGGCCGTCAGAGGTGGCTGGGCTGCCGCTCTCAGTGTGGTGCCGGGGCCGCTTCCCCTCCCGACCTGGGCCTGCCTGAGCGGCTGTCAGAGGCGGCTGGGCTGCCGCTCTCAGTGTGGTGCCGGGGCCGCTTCGCCTCCCGACCTGGGCCTGCCTGAGCGGCCGTCAGATGCGGCCGGGCTGTCGCCGTCAGTATGGTGCCGCGGCCCCGTCCTCTGACCGGTGCTCCGGCGTCCGGCCTGCTCCCTCTGTGGAGTGGTCGCTCCTCGACCTGACCCGGGCCTACCTGAGCGGCTGTCAGAGGCGGCTGGGCTGCCGCCCTCAGTGAGGTGCCGCGGCCCCGTCCTCTGACCGGTGCTCCGGCGTCCGGCCGGGCCCCGTCCTTCCGTCCCGCCTCTCACCGCTCCACTGGTGGAGGCGAGGGCACGGCGGTTGTGTTATTTGTGACGGACCTTGGCAGCTTCGGTAGCTTTGTGATGACTTAGTAATCTCCTCTGTTTGTTGCGCTTTCAGTTTGCTTCCTTTTTTACTACCCGTTTATGCTTGTTTGCTTAGCTTTTTTACTTTTTTTTAACTAGCCAATTTTGTGCTTGCTTGCTGGCATTCCTTACTTGACCTGTATTTGTGATTCGTGGCAGTGTTTTATTAGAGAGACATCTGAAATCTAAGACATTTCCGGGGGAACATTGGTCCTGCTCATTCCGACTGGGCCCAGCATTATAAATTCATCATTTCAAATCATGACGTTAGTGTACATGACGATGTTTATTGAGTGCTTAATGTAAGTTATATTTGGCGACTTTTGCGTTATAAACTATAAGTTCTCATTCCTTTTTGAGTGAATTTTTCCTTTTTTATATTGCATGCGTTTTTAGTATTTATGTTGTTTTAAAATTCGGTGGATTTTATTGTGAGTTTAACATAGTACAATTCACAACTGCGCTTTTTCACTGTGTACGCGGCCTTTCCTCTCAAATGTCTTCCGTCTATCAATGCTGGTTAGGCTGTTCACCGCTCAGCACATGCTAACTGCTAAAGCTGATGGCACTGTATGTAACAATCTTGCGACAGTCATTGCTCACGTATCTGTCGATAGATCGTCGACAATTTCGCTGTTTTTCACACAGTCAACTTGCCAAACAGCACGCCTTGTGAAAACTCTGTGTCAAATCTAGGCCGAGTCTAGAGTATGGACCCATCAACAATCAAAGTACCTATGCCAATCAATGTGCATTCTGATATGACTGATATTTATACAATACTGTCGACATTCAACAACAGACTGTCGATAATCCGCGATGTTTGGCCCTGGAGATAGACGCTTGTGGTATATAGGTCCGGATATGAACCTATGTAATCAGAGGCTGGCTACGCTTTACGTTGATAAGCGTCGCGCTTTAGCAGTGTAGTTTTGCTACCGCGTTGCTCGTCTAGCGCTCATTATGCTCCAAATCGCAGCCTGGGCAGGGCCTGATGTGAAGGCTGTTCTCAGCGGAGTGGAAGCGATGTGTCGGAGAATGGGAACGGCTGTCACTGGGTGCTGAGTGTTACGGGGAATCGTGGCTGCACTTGCTCATGTCATTTTGACAAAGCTCAAACATTCCATGCACTGGCTGTTTGTGATGTGTGGCGCACGAACACACGGTAGACCGCAGCGCTATTGTATGTACCGTCCGGGTGGCACTGGTGGAAAAATGGCTTTATTTTGTGATGTTTACGGTCACCTACTGGTATCGGTATTAGGTTGTGCTTGTTTGATTGCAGGTGATACACATAGAATGTATGCGGCATGCGTCAGTGGTGCTGGGTTACGGCATGTTACGTTTCACGGAAGTATGTACCTCATGTTGCATCTGAGGCAAGCTTGTACCGGGAGAATCAGGGTGAGAGTGAGCTTATGTAGCGCGCTCGGACTATATCCACGGCGATTCTGTGGGAGGAGACGTGTTACCACTGCGATTCTTTGGCGGCAGATGTGCGAATATATCTTACCATGACAGCTCGCCAATGCTCGCCCGTGTGATGGGCCGCGACATACCCGTGATACCTTCCCAGTGATTTCTGTGTCGCGTGGATGGAATCTGCGGTGTATTGGCTATTGCACAATCCGTATTTCACCTTGCGGTGCTAGTGTGTATGTAGTGCGTACACCAATGCAAAATGGCACGTACAGCCCTCTGCAAACTGCGTGGTAGGTATTCTTTTTTCGACAAAACCGTCAATAACACGGATACTATGCTATCGGTCACTCGGAAATCGTAACAGCAAGACGCGCAAGGCTCCGCACCTTAGATTGGCATGACAATCATATTCATTTTCCATCCAGTTTGGCAACAAAACCCAAAAGTTTATATTTGCCCCCAAAACAAACTTTTGCATTTTGTTGCCACACAAGGCATATACTTTGTTTAGTGATAAACCAAATCGAAGGAGTGAAGCATGGCGCATCTATGTGCAATGAGTTACGATCGACTGATAACATAGTCTTTGAGTTATTACCGGTTTTGTCGAAAAAAGAATACCTACCACGCAGTCTGCTGAGGGCTGTACCCAGCGAAAGTGATTTTAGAGGCTTACGTAGGGTGGTGGCAGTATACCCAGCTTTAGCCGTGACGTTCATAGCGTCACCACTAGTCACACGCAGGTAGTTTCCGCCTGGTAGGGCCGCTAGTCACACGCTAGTTGCAGCCTAGTAGGGCCGCTAGTCGCGCGTGGCTGCACCGTCGCGACCTGTACCCGTGTCGCAGCTCAGGCCACCGCCCAGACGCCGGACCAGGCGGGCTGGTGGCGACGTGTGTTTCACGTGTACGGATGTTGTTCATCGCACACCGTCAATGCGACTGCTGACCAAATATATTTTACCATACCGATTGACGAATTGTTTAATTTGTGTTTCCTCCACGATAGTGGTTATTAGTGGTTGTTTGTGGTAAGAGTGAAGGCAGCGCGGTCCGTAATCCAGCACGCCCCCTTTCCATACCCCCTCTAGAAGCGGAGAAGGAGAGCGCCGGTCAGCCGAGTCGGCCTTTCATGCGAGGTCAGCCCGATGCTCCACGCTTATTTTCGCAGAAACGAGTACGATCCTTGCATAAAGGCAGTCATTGAGCGCTGGTTTTGAATCTGAGTGATGGGAAGCGTTCTCAGTCCCCACGACAACTATTCATGAGACGAGCACTAGAGATTGCAATCCCGGAACGTTTTACCAATCCCGGGATCCCGAAAGTTTTTATTTCGGGATCCCGGGATCCCGGTCTTGTCACTAAATGTCGTAAGAGTGATTTCCTACTGACATATTTTGCGTCTTTTAGCTTACCACAAACAAAGAGGCAACCAAAAGCCATCCTTAGACCATGTCATTTGCATTAAAAACGATTGAATTTGCGAATAAAACGTTTCGATTTGATTAGCATTAGCATTTATTCCCAATTGGCCTTCATAAAACTGTGCGTCGACCAGTACGTTTACTAGACGGGTTCCAGCACATCCACGCCTCACTCACTCTTCCTCTACGCTACTCGTAGTTAGCGCGACAGTTTTAAGCCATTGCCATGCTGGTAGGTCTGTCTGCTTAAAAACTCGCAACCAGTGTACCCCAACTTTGGCAGCTCCCTATTTCACAATGTTTTCAAAACGTCGCTTGGTCACTTTACCTCCTTCCGGTTCCGATTTCATCATTAATGTCTCTCAGAATTTGCTCGAAAGTCGCTTTGAGAGCAGAGTCACTGACTGGGAGAGCTCCACTCTACCGTCTTCAACGTCTGAATCAGTGAGCTATGCCGTCACTTGCGTGACATCTGTGACATGTTTCTGCGACACGAGCTCAAAGACTGTCTTGATGACCTCCTTTGTTCCGGCCACGGACGGGCAAGTCAGAATCGCTGAACGATCTGTGATCCTGATAAAGATGTTGCAGCGCTGATGCTGCAATTTTTTTTTGGCGTTCGGGACCCTTTTTTCGTACGTATTTAAGCGGCTTAACCGCTGTGGGTGATACCCGAGAGCTACCAACACGGTCGATTGTCGACGGCCAATACGGGCTGCCAGCTAAATAGTTTATCTGCTTTATGTCACGCAGCACCATAAACAGTGTAAACAAGACTCGTGCAGCGGCTGCATTCTTTTTGAAAAACCGATTCTTTTCGGGATCCCGGGATTGGCGGAATTTCGGGATCGGGATCGGGATTAAAATCCCGCCGGGATCCCGGGATCCCGATCCCGGGATTGCAATCTCTAACGAGCACCTTCCAATTTGTCTCAATAACACTATCTTCACCACAGCGGGAAATAAATCGCCGAGTCCAATGTAATGCATTTACGAATACATCCAACAATCATCACGGCGCAAACACATGTAAGCAATGCGCAAAGCGAGTATGCACGAGCCTGAATGTTGATTTGTCGCGATGTTGATTGATTCGCACAGCGCCTGTTCAGATCGACGTAGTGCGCTGGGCTGGGCGTGGGGGAATCAGACTGACCGGAACGCCGCGCGGGGGGGGGGGGCAATACATGAGCCTCCCCCGGCCCTGCTGATCTACCCCGGGTAGTACGACAGCTCATGAACGGCAGGTTTGTTACACGGGGTCGGACGCCGAGTCGGCAGTGGGGGATCGAGCGGGCCCTGTGACGAAGCAGTGTCCAGACCGAAAGACTGTGGGACCGCGGGCTGCACATCTGCGGTAAGAGACTTAAGGGCAGTCCGCGTGCGAAATTGGCGAGATTGCTGTGTGATACGATACAAAATACGACGCTTTATAAACAGGTGGGTATCATAAGCTCCAAGAGTCACCGACATAGCGATACAGACTAGAAGACCTTCCTGGCAAGATTGAGCAGGCTAGCCTAATTTCGAACCAGATCATAAACAAGTCATGAGATAGCATAAACACACGATAAACATAACCACTAAGCATGTCATGGGGCGGCCTCCCTAAGAGATTACTGGCACAGCGCGTGGTGCAGGGACACAGCTGCGTGCGTGTACGGTCAGCGTGGGTTCAGCGCCGGCTCCGGGCTGCGAGCTGCGGCGGGCGGCCTGCCCTCTGGCGGCCGACGGCAGAACCGCACCGCGTATTGCACAGATGTGACTCGTCTCCGGGGAACAGCGAACACAGGGAGCGAGCATTCCGATCACGAACTGACACGCAGCCGAACGGGTTACGGGTCTACTGTAACTACAATGATAATCGGAATTCGGAGACGAAAACACACCAGACGCTGCACTCAACTACGTGAACCGAGATTTGGCACTTTTGCAAGAGGGTACACGCCGCGCATCTAGCCGGCGACGTAAATGAGTACACATTTTCGAACTGTGTCGAAACGCAAAACAATCCTCTAGCAAACAAAAACATTCCCATAACGGCAAAATGTTCTAAAACTAGTAATAATATCATACGTTTCTGAATACCTAAAACAAAGTGGTATCGTCGGCCACTGGCCCTCAAAAGCTCATCAGTGTCGTGAATCTGGTCAAACTGGTGGGCGGCTGGCGCCGAGATTCCTGGTCCGGCCTCAGCGGTGATCTGGTCACCCGAGCGTCTGCTCCCGCCTGACGCCGGCCCGTCTGCCCCGTCTCGTCCCCGCGGCCGGCCGACCAGCCTAGATGGGCTTGTAGAGCAGCGTGGTGACGTACTTTTTGCGGTAGCGGTGGGTGGCGCTGAGCACCATGACACCGTCCTTGATGCTCAGCGCGTACAGGTGGTTGAGCATCACGTGGTTGGGCGCCGGCAGCAGGGTGGGCTCGCACGACACGGGCGTGTCCTTGTTGAGGATCACCTGGAGCAGGTGGGGCGGCAGCGCCGGCGGCTGGCTGGCGGCCCGGCTCTCCCAGGCGGCGGCGCGGCTGGGCGGCGGCTCGCGGCCGTAGCTGCCCGGCGGCGAGCCCGACAGGTCGCCGGCCGCCGGCGCCGTCTCCAGGTTCAGCGCCTCGCAGGCGGCGAAGTCGGAGCCCTTGACGTCGATGTAGTTGGTCTTGTCGCCGTCGTCGGTGTCGGCGGTGGGCTCGCTGGTGTCCACCACCCACTGGCCGTCGATGCGGAACTTGTACTCGTGCCGGCCCTCGGGCAGGTTGACGATGCTCATGTGCTCCGAGTTGATGTTGCTCTCGCTGCGGGCCATCGGGATGGGCTTCCAGCCGGTGAAGCTGCCGCACAGCTGCACGTCCTGGCCGCCCTTTTTCCACTGGATGACTACGGGCAGCAGGGGCTGCTGGGGCCGCTCGGCGGACGGCGCCGGCACCTCGCTGGGCGCAGAGTGCTGGTGCGGCAGCGAGGCGGGCGAGGCCGGCGGCACGGGCGGCGCCGTCGGCTCCACGCCGTCGCTGACGCGGCGCCGCGACAGCGACGGCAGCGTCAGCGGGTCCTCGTCCTGCAGCGCCAGCGAGCCGCGCCGCCGCTGCTGCTGCTGGTCGAAACTGGCGCACACAGAGACACAGGGACCGTCAGTCGGCGGTCTGTGTGGCCGGGCAGCTGGGGGACTGTGTGTGGCCGGGCAGCTCGGGGGACTGGTGTCTGTGTGGCCGGGCAGCTCGGGGGACTGGTGTCTGTGTGGCCGGGCAGCTCTGGGGACTGGTGTCTGTGTGGCCGGGCAGCTCGGGGACTGGTGTCTGTGTGGCCGGGCAGCTCGGGGGACTGGTGTCTGTGTGGCCGGGCAGCTGGGGGACTGGTGTCTGTGTGGCCGGGCAGCTCGGGGGACTGGTGTCTGTGTGGCCGGGCAGCTCTGGGGACTGGTGTCTGTGTGGCCGGGCAGCTCGGGGGACTGGTGTCTGTGTGGCCGGGCAGCTCTGGGGACTGGTGTCTGTGTGGCCGGGCAGCTCGGGGGACTGGTGTCTGTGTGGCCGGGCAGCTCTGGGGACTGGTGTCTGTGTGGCCGGGCAGCTCTGGGGACTGGTGTCTGTGTGGCCGGTCAGCTCTGGGGACTGGTGTCTGTGTGGCCGGGCAGCTGGGGGACTGGTGTCTGTGTGGCCGGGCAGCTCGGGGGACTGGTGTCTGTGTGGCCGGTCAGCTCTGGGGACTGGTGTCTGTGTGGCCGGGCAGCTCGGGGGACTGGTGTCTGTGTGGCCGGGCAGCTCGGGGGACTGGTGTCTGTGTGGCCGGGCAGCTCGGGGGACTGGTGTCTGTGTGGCCGGGCAGCTGGGGGACTGGTGTCTGTGTGGCCGGGCAGCTCGGGGGACTGGTGTCTGTGTGGCCGGGCAGCTCTGGGGACTGGTGTCTGTGTGGCCGGGCAGCTGGGGGACTGGTGTCTGTGTGGCCGGGCAGCTCGGGGGACTGGTGTCTGTGTGGCCGGGCAGCTCGGGGGACTGGTGTCTGTGTGACTGGACTGGGGGGAACAATGAGGGAAGGACACAGATTTGGGATGTGTGAAGTGATGTGATTATATTCACAGGACAGATTCACTCAATGGCACAATTCACTAAGCATTTTAACTACAGTTTGATCAAAATTTAAATTGACTAATATAACCATTTCAACTAATTTCAATTAAATTGTTACGGAGCGAGCGAAGCGAGCGGAGTCTCATACTGAATTAAGGGAAAATCCTGAGTATGAGCGGCCGGCCGGCCGGCCGGCCGTGGGGACGCTCTTCAAAAGCTAATATCTTAGGAACGGGACATCCGATTGACAAGCGGTCTTCTTTACTGAATGTCACTTGGACGTAAAAGTTCTGTGGTGTGATGGCCACCATGCGTTCTTGCCAACCACCGCACGTGGCGCGTGGTAAAGTTGGACATTTTTCAAGAACCCCCAAAATTGCAACCTCAATAACGGCACAACGGTTGGGCCGATTGAATTGAAACTCGGTACACAGTTAGGTCTCCATCAGATAATTCATCTGCATGTGTTAACCCGCGCCCCGTTGGGCTCTGCCGAGCAACGCGCCCCGTTGGGGGGGGGCCATTTTGCCCCCCCCCCCTAAGATCTCGAGAACCACGCAACGTAGCGACAAGCGGCAAACGGTGTTGGATAGCCCTATCAGGGAACTACCTTGCGACCCAATTTTATTGACCTAGGTCAAACCGATGACGTCACAGGTCAGGTAAAAGGTCCAATTTTCACCGTTTACAGGCATTTCAAGAAATGCGTTGTAAAATCGAGTAAAATGCATTTCATTGAAAATCATCGATGGGGAAATGTTCTTCAAACACATATTTTGCTAGTTGAGGTCACTGATACCAGGTCAGGTCACTGAGGTCAGGTCACTGGGGGGTCACAATATGAAAGTGTCGTGTGATACGTGTTTTATGGTCCATTTTACATGACAAATGCGATTATGTGGGTCAGGCAGCCTTTGGGGCCAGCTTAGGTCACGTTTTGGTCAAGGTCAGGTCAAGGTCAGGTCAAGGTCAGGTCAAATAAGGTCAAATTTCAAAGTTGATATTTTTGCATAAAATGGGTATCGAATCGATGCAGCTCGTCACGGGGAGTTCAATGGTGGTCTTTGTTTTGCTGTACGAGGTCTAGAATCGCTAAAAATTGAGTTAAAAAATTTGACGTCATCATTTTTGAAGTTTTTTCGCTATAACTTGGCCAAAAAACGAGATATCGATCTGAAATTTGGTATGTATATAGAAGAGCGCAGGGACTATCACATATATTCCGGTTTTTTTCGAAATTCGGAAAAATTTTGGATTTTTTTTAGTTTTGCTAAAAAAATCAATTTTTTGAAATTTTTTGGGTCAAAAACCCAAAATTTTGAAAATCCGAGATAGCAGTTTTGTAGCGCCGCTTTTTGTCTATTAGACCATATAAAGAACTTTGAAATTGCTTGATAACTGTAGATTTGGTGAGCGTTTCAAGATTGCATGTTTTTTGCTCATTTTTGCTCGAACATGACCTCAGTTTGACCTCAATAACTCCTGACCTAAGGTGACCTAAGACTTGAAATTTGGTGTGAAGGTGTCAAATTGATGCCCGGAAAGGTACTGAAAATTTGGCGGCGCTGCGCGCCGCCGTTTTCTTGCTATTCAGGAAAAACCACAGGGGGGGCCAAAATGGCCCCCCCCCCAACGGGGCGAGGGTTAAGGTTGGGGGGTTACAGGACAATTTGCCGAACTGCATTTTGCCGAATGCTTATTCGCCGAATGTCAATATGTCGAATGCGTTTTGCCGACGTGTCTTTTTGCCGACGTGTCAAAAGGGCGAAGTGCTAAAAGTCGAAATGCAATTTGCCGACATACCTTCTTGCCGACGTGCAATAAGCCGAAAATGTCAATTTGCCGAAATGTCAATTTGCCGAAAAGTCAATTAGTCGAAATGTCAATTCGCCGAAATGCTAATTTGCCGAAATGCTAATTAGTCGAAATGTAAATTTGCCGAAATGTCAATTTGCCGAAATGTCAATTAGTCGAAATGTCAATTCCTCGAAATGCTAATTTGCCGAAATGCTAATTAGTCGAAATGTAAATTTGCCGAAGTGTCAATTAGTCGAAATGTCAATTTACCGAAAAGTCAATAAGTCGAAATGTCAATTTGCCGAAATGCCAATTAGTCGAAATTAACCTAACCTAACCTAACTTGACCCGTAAGTATTAACCCTCGCCCTGGCAGGGCATTTTTCATAACACGGCCTGGCAGGGGGGGTCGATGCGACCCCCCCCCCCCTCGCGATTGGCTCCTATGGCACCTAGAAACACCAAATTTGGTAAGTAGGTGGGCCCCCTGGAGTTTTCGCCCCTGTGCAAATTTGGTTGCTCTAGGTCAATATTTAGGGGGGTTTTGGGAGGGTATAAATGTAAAAATTTCGCTAAAAACAGGTCAAAAGTTTTTCGCTTATAACTTTTGATCTAATTAAGATAGAGAAAAAAAAAGAAAAGCACCAGTGAACTCAGCACGTCAAGGCGCGTCGAATGATATACTTTTTAGCTTGCTTAAGTGTACTTAAAGTTTTTCTTAAATTTTAAGTAAACTTAGCTTAATAAATTAAGTTCAAGTTAACCAAATTGCATCATATTGCATATCATTCGATTCGGCTGATCACCAGAAACACAATGGTACCATTTTTTAAGCTCTAGCGTCATTATGTGCCAAGTTATTGGCAAAAACGTCATTTGACCTCAGTTGACCTCATTTGACCTGACCCATGGATTAGTACACCAAACAAAGAAGCACCAAGTGACCTGCTGTTAAGTACCGTGGTTTCAAAGCACAAAAGTGATAGAACAAAACGGATATCTCCAGTATTTTCCGAATTTAGTATTTTCCCGTAGGCTTAACATTACGACGTAATGACCTCTAACTGACCTCAGGTCAGTGACCTCAAAAAAGCCGGAATATATGTTATACAACTCGGTGAACTTAGCACATCCTGAGAGTTTGAAGGCAATCAGTCGAAAACTGTGAGTTGGACAGGTGCAAAAAGAAAATTGAAATTTGACCATGACCTTGTACCGGTTTTTCTGACCTGGTGACCTGACCCAAGGTCACCCGGACCTGAAATTTTCAGGTAATATGTAAAAAGGTTGCCCCATAGGCTGTGTTAAATTTGGCGGCGCTGCGCACCGCCGTTTTTACGCTATCTTCGAAAAACCTTAGGGGGGTCGCATCGACCCCCCCTGCCAGGGCGAGGGTTAACTTAAGGACCGACTCGCTTTTCAAAGCTAGAAACCCACTTACATGTCACCAAAGTATAAGAAAAACATAACTAAACCTTACCTTACCTGACCTACTGATTTTTGCCTTCCCGTGGATAAGGAAGAAGATACATTAATAGATTGCAGACAATGATAAGTCAATTATTTTTAGGTTAAGTGGTTGTGCATCAGGCTTCAGGCCTTCGGCCTGAAGCCGTTTGTTTGTTGATTGGGGCTTTAGGGCGCGCCGACTGCTAAGGTCATTTTGCGCCCATAACGTCGTACTAATAAAACAAGTGTGCTACAAGAAAGAACCTTCTAAATATTAAGACTAGAAAGTAAGACTCGATATAAATTAGCAAGGTAAGATAAAACAGCGGCCAGATACACAACAATTTAACCCTCACCGGACCTATTGGTTTTCTACATACGCGCCGGCCGAGGTGGTAATTGCTGAAAGGCGATTTGCCGAATGCATTTCGCCGAATGTCATTTTGCCGATGTGCTTTTTGCCGACCTGTCAAAAAAGTCGAAATGCCATTTGCCGAAATGCTTATTAGTCGTTTCGCCCCTGATGGAGCTGGCGCGTCGCGGAAAAAAACGAGCGTGTGCGCCGTTACGAGACGCAGAGATTGATACCCGATTTTAAGGTCCTACGTCAACCGGTGACCTCTGAGGTCAGGTCAAGTGCCCCAAGGACACCAGGTTGGGGTGCTACAGCACGTGCGCACGTGCAGGGGGCGCTCCCAGATCTCGAGAACGGCTGGGCCGATTGCGCTCAAATTTGGTACACGGTTGGGGACCAGTTAGTAGGGTGCCGTGCAAAAGTCAGTTTGGACCCCGCTTGCACGTGCGCACGTGCAGTGTGCCGCTTCCAGATCTCGAGAACGGCTAGGCCGATTGCGCTGAAATTTGGCACATCGCTAAAGACCGGTTAGTAGGGTGCAGTGCACAAGTTAGTTGGGGGTACCCCCTCGCAATTTCGCACGTGCAAGGCCCATCCTCTCGCTCGCTCCGTTGGTCGCCCAAAAGGCGTTTTACTGGTTACAGTAACTCCTCATTTGAATGCCAACCAATGAGCAAGTTGGATCTGGATCTAGGCAGGGCTTATGTCTTGTGATGTTGAACATAAGAACAGTTTACCAAAAACAAACTTCACATACTCATCAATGAGTAATCAGATCACTACTTACAATGACTGGCAATGACAGCAGCTGATCACAATGACCCTTAAATAAATGATGTAAAATGGATTTATATGCAACCTGAACCACTTATAAAAAAGTGTAGCTCTCATTCTACAGCAGTGCCTATCAAATGTATGCACACGATCCATGTTAAACATTGCATGCCACCACATGGTCATAGATTCAGTTACACTTGCATGATGGACTCTCACACTGAAGCCACACATCATTGCTCCTAGGTACACATAGGTATCACTTAAACTTGAGACTTGTCCAGTTGTCACACAGTTATCACAGTTAGTTATCAGTTATCACACAGTACTGCTAACTGCTAAGATGGTAGGTAATCAAAATATCTACCAATACCTGGAGGCCAGTCAAACCTTAGCCCCTCCCCCTCATACAGATCTAGCACCCACTGATAGCTGACCTGAAGGCTGACTCTGCCACCGTCGCCCTGGTGACTGGCGACGCTGAGCTCGCCGACTGGCCACGCTCTCGGTTCTGAGCATTACCCATGACAGGCTGGTGGGTTGCAGCCTTGCAGTTTGTTCACTAGTAAGTTATTCCTGTGCCTGAAAGAGAAATCCACTTCAACTTGTTTGGAGTTATGAACAATGTCAACATTTGCTTTCAATAGACCTTAAAAAACAGAATTGTAATGTACAAAAAGCTGTGCCAGCAACCAGGACCAGGCTCAGAAGACAATATGGCAGTAAAAACATAACTTTGTTATTGATTGATATCAAGGCCGATTGATATGTCTGCACTTTGCAATGTGTTCACCATGTTCCAGAGCTGAGGCAGAAAACAAGATTATGTCAGATTTAAGATTATGTCACCAAATTGGGCGGAGCCATGACCATACAACAACAAGGAGCGATAATCAATATTTGGATTATGTTTCCAACACGTCCTCATTCAAACCCCCCATAACCATCGAAGAACTGCTCATAATCACGATTTTTTTGTTGTTGAGTCATGAGTGACAGACAAAACTCGATCCTACACATGGGTGTCGATTTGTATACCTTTGGGGGTGCTGCAGCACCCCTAATGCTCAAATGAGCACCCCCAATGGTTTTCCGGGCACCCCCAATGATTTTGTCCCTCAATAACTCCCACTAACTCTGCTTGAGGAAAATAATTGTTCTGCAGTCTTTCACTAATAAAAATAAAACAATTACGCAATTTACAAGGCATGAAATAAAGATGTAAAGCCAGAAAAGTTAGTTTTAAGAAGAAGAGCGAAAAAAGACGTTAAGTTGTTGAGACACTGCAGTGTGGGTCCGTCGTACACGGGTGTCGGACCCTTAGAGTTGCTGGCGCGTACCCTTTACAAGCCGGCAAGGGGCTCCAGAGACCGGCGACGGGCCCTCAGAGGCCGGCAAAGGGCCATCAGAGGCCGGTGGTACCTTCAGAAACCCTGTGGGGTCGTCTTTAGAGACCGGAACGGACTTAGACGCCGATGGAGCCCTCAGTCGCCGGTGTGGGGCCTTCAAATGTCACCGGTGACAGAGTGGCCGTCACATGCGCACTTGTGGGGCCTTCAGAAGCTACGATGTTGGGCCCTCAGAGCCGCCGATATAGGGCCTTAAGAGGCACTAGTGTGGGGCCCTCAGATATGACAATGTGGGGCCCTCGGACTGGAGGCGCCGGTGTGGGGGCTTCACAGTCGCCGGTGACGGCCCTCACAGGCGCCGTTGTGGTGGCTCTCAGAGACACTGGTTTAGGGCCATCACAGGCGCGCGTGGGGCCCTCAGAACTGCTATTACGGAACGGGCCCTTCAAAGGCCGACAAGAAGATATCAAGAGGTCACCGGTGCCTTCAGGAGCCTTGTGTGGTTCTCAGAGACTGGCATGGTGCGCTCAGACGCCGCTGGGATCCTCCGAGTCACCTGTGTGGGGCCGTCAGGGTCGCTGGTAACTGTCAAGGGCCCTCAGAACCGCCCATGTAGGGTTTTTAAAGGCATTGGTGTAGGGCCTCAGAGTTAGGGGTGTGGGGCCCTCAGAGACGCCGGTGTGGCGCTCAGGGGTGCCGGTGAGGGCCCTCACAGTCGCCGTTATAGGGGCCCTCAGAGAAATGGGTGTGGGGCCATTACAGGCGGGTGTGCAGCTCCTAGAGCTGGCCCCTATAGGCCGGTTAAGACCCCCAGAAGCCGGCAAGTGGCCCTCAGAGGCTGGCTTGGGCCCTTATGGAGATCTTAATGTTGGTACTTGTGGGCCCATGAGGTGTTCTTACGAGCCCTGTGGGGCCCTTCTGAGTCCAAATATAGCCAACCTGGACCCTCAGCGGCCAATTGGCGCCGCAGTGCCCCTCAGGCCCGAATAACCTGATGGGCCCCTGAACCTGATGGGGGGGGGGCATGTGCCTCACGGGCCCACCTGGCTACGCCACTGAGGAAAATCGTAAACCCATAAATATCGAAAAGCGATCACCTGTCATGTTTTTGCGATTATTGTGATCGTCTGATTAACGCCAGAGCCTCCTAGCTATACCGTTGCCTCCCGCGCAATGTCCGCCCCTGTGGACCGCAGGGGCTGCTGCACCGGTGCTAACCGCGGTCATCGGTTTCTGTCACCTTATTACAGAGGTGCTGGGGCTGCTGCCGAGCTGCCGGCAAATGTACGACTTTTTTCGGAAAGATGTTTATGTAATGAGGTAGCCAAGTACTAGGGCGAACAGAATGATTTTGAAGAACGTTCAACCTTTGGGAAATATTAGTGGAAATCCCGGGATTATTAGTACCTTATGGGGATACCCATTACCCAACCATGCCTTGTACGGTTGTGCCCCATGGCAAAGCTGCAATCTTTCACCCGGTGCAGGGGTTGAGCACCCCCAACCATTTTGAGAAATCGACAACCCTGATCCTACAGATTGCGAACTGGCCAGCACATGTGGAGATTAGACTTTGGGAGTTATGACTTGAATAATCAAGGTCACCGATGAACGGGCAAATACATAAATCTATTTTTGCTCCTTTTTATTGTACTCATTAAATGTTAAGAAAGCTTTTTTTTAGAAACCTCGGTTGGTTACGTTGGTTAGCGCTTTTTGGCGCAATCGGCAACATATCTCACCATGCGCCAGTTATGTATCATATAGGAATAACTTAAAAACGCAGCTAAATTTAGACAGAAGTTTTCAGGTAGATAGCTTTAAATCCGTAGGTGTAAGGTTCATATAATTTATTTTTTAGGCAGTAAAGCTGAAGGTTAGTAGATTTTAGGTCACTAAATGGGGTTAAAAAGGTAAGATTAGGCTTCAGTCCTTGTAAGACTAAAACTTACCAAATATTATAATAGTATAAGAGTTGCTGCGTTTTTGTTACACTTATTAAGTTGTGATTCTGCCGCGCTTCATACCTTCCTGGCGCAAACAACGAAACAGCTTGTTTTGTTTCATTGTCATCGAAAATAATTTGGAAAACAATCGTTTCAAGGCCCAACAAAATCATCGTCCGTTTCAGGGTGTAGGTATAGGGGTATTACTTTTTAGCAAGATTTATGTACGGTATTCATTCATGCTGCTCATTTTTTTTTACTTCGCCACGTTAATACTGATACAATTATTTAAAAGCATTCTAGATCAACTTGCCTTTTTTAACCAGCTTCTTATTTTTTATCGAACTTTTCACATTTCTGGCATCGATACGGCTGCATGTGCATTTTTCATGTGCCTAGCTTAAATGGTATTAAGTATAAACATTCAAATTTGGCTAAAAAAACTTCAACTTTCAGTGCAAGCTGTGCTAAAATTTTGCCGTAAAATCTTTAGTGCTGAATTTGGCACCTTAGGCCTTAGCTCCATGAGGCGTCCCAGCGTAGTTTGTTGATTTTCCAGTCTGGCCTGGTTGTGGTATAGTCTCAAAATTGGAGCATCTGATTTTGCTAATGTTCCCAATGGAAACCAAATTCTCCAGTGTGCTGGCATCGTGCTAGCAGCTCCCGTGAAACACCGTCCTTGACTCAGTATCAATAAGCAACCATTGTTTGTGTTGTCTGTTGTGTCGGCAATGTATGTAACAGTCTGTCATTATCAGGAGATGGCGACATTCTTTGGTGAAGTTTTGCCAGTTACAAATAGAGCCTACAATGATGCAGAGGATGATGAAGAAGCAACACATGACTTCAGGTAGGTGAGCGGTGAACATGACCAATGACCATGATGAGCCCGATGACATGGAGAAACATCAGTCATGATGGTCCACCCTACCCTAATAGTCAGACTGCAAGGAATTGCAGCAGAGGCAATGGGCTGGTGCCTGGCTGAATTTCCTGTGGCTCAGTTATCCTGGTTTGGTGTTCACTGGTTCAGTTGACATGAAATTATTCCCTGATAATTATGCTGTCAGCTAATAATTGGTGTCATTCTGCTCTTTTTCAGCAATCCCTTTACAATTACCTTCTCAAGTGAGGAAGGGAATCTGTCTGCTGACACTGTGATCCTTGCTTGTGGTCATTTTGCAACAGGTAAGGGGCTAGCCATTTGTATTATTTCAAAGTCAGATGGAGAAGCCTGCTGGTAGTATTTAGTTCCAGCATTCCTGGTGAGCTGTGATAATAGAGCTATGTACTCAATTTCATAGAATAAGCTGCAGATTAAAGCATTTTACCACATGGCTTTTTTAGTTGAATAGGGGATAAAACACTTGAGGTACTTAATTTTCCAGAGCTCGGCCCACTCTTTGCCCCTGTCACCAACTGCTGACACCAACCCCGTCGCTCCCACAGCGTACGTGGACTGTCTGCTGCCGGCCGACTGCCCTCTGCTGGCCACTGTGGAGCTCGCCCGGCGTTCCGAGCCGGACGGTGACGCGCTCCGCCGACCGGCGCCGGCCGCCCGGCTGTACCGGCTCGGTCCGCGGACCTGTGTGGCGCGCTGCGACTCCGTCCTGGCCGACGACCACCACTACTGGCTGGCTGAGACGGTGGGTCGCGGGGGGGACGGGCTCAGAGACGGTGGGTGGCGGTGGGGGACGGGCTCAGAGACGATGGGTGGCGGTGGGGACGGGCTCAGAGACGGTGGGTGGCGGTGGGGGACGGGCTCAGAGGCGGTGGGTGGCGGCAGGGGATGGTTCGAGAGGGTGGGTGGGGAGGGGACGGGCTCAGAGACGGTGGTTGGGGAGGGGACGGGCTCAGAGACGGTGGTTGGGGAGGGGACGGGCTCAGAGACGTTGGTTGCCGGTTGGGGAGGGGACGGGCTCAGAGACGGTGGTTGGCGGGGGGGACGGGCTCAGAGACGGTGGGTGGCGGTGGGGGACGGGCTCAGAGACGGTGGATGGCGGGAGAACGAGTTCAGAGACGGTGGGTGGTGGTGGTGGTGAGGGGGGGGGGGTGAAGACAGCCACAGCAGCCACAGAGACGGCGGGGGACAGGCACAGGAACGGTGGGTGGCGGAAGAGACAGGAGATGGCTGCGGGGGACGGGCCCAGAGACGGCGGGTGGCGACAGGGACGGGCCCACACGGCCGTCAAATTGTTATATAGTTATGGTGACTGTTCATGATTTCATGAACCTTAATATAGTCTGGTCTGTATCCCATTTGTCAGGCAACGTGTGCGTGTTTCAGGTTCTGAGCCAGTTCGAGGGTGCTACCAGAGTGGTGGCGCTCGGCTCGGCGCCGCTGGCAGAGTACCTGAGCAGTGCTGCCCCCTATGAGGAGCGGCCGTCACTGCTGGTTCGCTGTTTGGCCACCAGCCAGTGTAAGCTGCCGCCCTTGCTCACATCTTTGGAGCCTCCCAACGTGGTCAAAGGCACGCCGGCCGCAGGTCAGTCGATACGGATCTTCACGCTGACAACTCAGTACAAAAGTCTACCATCGATATGTGTCATCATCAACCGCCTCCTCGTTATGTGAAATCTATCAAAATATTCTTGCACCCAAACATCGTAAAGCAGATCAATATCGACAGTTTAAACGGAAAATTGATCCGATGACCCTACCCTACCCTATTACTCAGAGCTCATCGGGCGCTAGGAAGGTACACAAGAAGTCCTTTTTTCTTGGAGAGGGATGCAACAACTTTTGATACAGACATGCTGAAGCGATGAAAACACATTGAATATATTCAGTACGACGATATGGTTCGACTGATATGCAGCAAACTTTACGGTCAGGTCATGATCTTGCCCTTTGGGCAAATTTTCGAGGTGACATTTTTAAGGTCAAATCAAACTAGCTCGCTGGTCGCGTCTTGACAAGAGAAACGCGGTGTCAGTTAAATCAACATAGTTAATGAAGCTTAGTGTGGAACGTAACTGCTGATGTTTTCAACGAAAATGTGGTCGTGGATTGCAAACCTACATATGGATACTTAACTTTTGACCCCGGGTGAAATATGAGTGCTCTTTAGCAAGCGAACTACAAAAAGCCGTCTAGTGTTTTTTTTTGTTTTTTTTTTTTTTTTGCTCTAGCTCTAGTTCTACCCGGCGCGTTGGCTAAATTACGAGCTATGAACCGATTCGTCCAAGATGAAAATCGAGAGAATGACCCTTGATGACCTGACCTTCGACCTGACCCAAAATGTATGTGACCTGTTGACTTACCGATTTATGATTGATTATGAAGACTGCAGATGAAATATGGAATATGATAGCGAAGATGTCACAACGTTTTCTACAGGATGCATTATGCGGGGTGGAGCGTGGGTATGGGGCAACGGCCAAGATTACTTCGCTACTTGAATAGAAAAAAGGTCAATTAAATTGAAAACGACTTCTGAAGGTTATTCATCGTGCGCAACTCTAATGACGACGCGACGGCATGGCCCCTACCGACCGTGCGACTGCGCGTTGCTTTATCGCCCATGAAATACGCCGAAAGGTGGACGTCCACGGGCGTGTTGCGCGATCTCTGTCCATGACTCGATGCACACTGCTTGTGTCGCTGCTACTGTCCTACCCCAGCGGAAGTCGGAGTCGGCGGGGGACGCTCGGCCTGCCGTCTACACATGCAGCCTCAGATTCGAATAGTGACGCTTTTTGCCGGGGCGGCCGGTCAGCGACCCGGGTGCGGAGTTTTTACTCGTCATTGAGGGGGCCAGTTGGCGGAGCAAACCCGTGACGAAGCGGTGGATGATGAAAATAGGCTAAAAGTGCGTTTTCCCGGCCTGAAGAAAGAATGAAATCATCTGTCTTTCCGTCACCAGTTCTCCGCGATATGTTGTGCTGGCGGCGCCCCTGCGGCACCGGTCCAGCAGGCCCATCCATTCACGTGTCTGGACGGCTAGAGCCGCCGTCTGACCACGTGGTGTTTACCGTGCTGCGCATGCGCCGGGGACCGGTCAGTGACGTCACGCGGCGTGCCTCACGCCACTGCTGCCGTGCCGGGTGCCGCCCTCCGTGCCCCGTCCGTCGTCCGTCGGCCTCCGCTCCCCAGTGTCCCCTCCCCACGCGCGTGTCACTGCCGTGTCGTATCTGCCGTGTATAAATAAACAGGGTCCGGGCCGCCGGCGGAGCTCGCGTGTGTCAGCCGCCATCGATCGGCGTCAGTGGCCGCCGCCGCGCCGTCAGTTGGCCAGTGCCGCTCGATAGCGCGTCACCCGTCCGTGTCCCGGTCCGAGACCCGCCGCCGCCGCCGCCATGGGCCTCGAGGATGACTTCAAGAAGGCGTCCGAGGACGTGACCAAGCTGAAGACGCGGCCGTCCGACGCGGACATGCTGGAGATCTACGCTCTCTTCAAGCAGGGCACCGTGGGCGACGTCAACACGGACCGACCCGGCATGCTCGACTTCAAGGGCAAGGCCAAGTGGGACGCCTGGAGCGGCAAGAAGGGCATGACCAAGGAGGCCGCCATGGAGGCGTACGTCAAAAAGGCCAGCGAGCTGATCGCTGCCGACAGTTGAGGTGGGTGCGGGCCGCGGGCCGTGGCCGCTGGCCGGCGCGCTGAGCCGGGGGTAGTGACCCGGGGGCTCAGTGACGGGGCGGGGCGGGGCAGATATTCGGTCGTCCGGTGTGACTGGTGGTGAGCCGGTGTCGGTACTTTGCGGCTGTCGTAGCCGAGTGAAATGGTACAGGACGGAGTCGTTTGTGTCGTTAAACACGTTTGAAAAGGATTAGCGGAAAGTGAATCACCAC